TATCCTAGCCTTATAGTGCATTCAGCACACCCAAGCGCCCATGGCATTCGATTGTGACTTAGCCCACATAGCCTCCAGCAAGGGACAATTGCTGCACACATGGCAAACAATCTCCCCCTCGGCAAATCTTCCGCTAGTAATCGAACTCGTGACCTTAGCTTCCATACTACTAATAGGACCTCAGGTGCTACCAACTTTTCTAAAACCAATTGGTGTTAGAAGAAACGCATACCCTAACTTTATAATGCGTTCAGCACACCCAAGCACCCACGACATTCGATTGTGACTTGGCCCACATACCTTCCATCATGGGACAATTGATGCACACATGGCCAGCAGAAGGATGATCAACACTTCACACCAGCTCACATTTTGGTCCTTGGATCGATGGGGGAAACACGCGTGTATGGATTTAACAAAGGTTTCCCCTCTTGTGGACTTAAGGGCCACAGTTTTCATGTTAGGTTAGGTTGCGTTAAAAGTTGCCTTGAGCAAAGTGACCAAACATGATAAGGCGAGTCTTGACGACTAACAAATGTTTATACCATATATGTGTGTAAAATTATGCATCTGTGTCTGTAACAATTCCTAACAAACACATTTGACATGCAAGTAGAAATTTTTTTTGTATTTTTGAACTTGGATGGACAATAACACCCTTTTAACACTCTTAACCTAGAATCTCCTGGAGAACTACTTGGTCTGTCCCTGAGTGTTTGTCCACTTTTGACTTTTGGAACTGTTCATCTAAGCACTTTGACTCATCAAATTATCTCAATGTGTAAGCCTAAAAATAGTCATGTGTGATCTTGTTTGATTCGTCTTAACATATAGATTATTAATATATAATTTTTATAATTTTTTAATATACAAATTACAAGATAAAATGGATTAAAGAAGTGCATTGGATGGTGTGCAAAAATGAAAGTGGACAAACACTCAGGGACGGAGGAAGTATATTTTTTGAAGAGAAAATAAAAGAGGAAAAAAGATTGAAAAACTCTAAAAGTTCTAATAACTATGGTTGACTGAATTTGTTTTCAATTCAATTTATATGGAAAGTGGGTTAAATATATAATATGAGGGGTATATTAGTCAAAAACAAGTCAATCAGTTAAAAGTTGATATTAAGTTGTCTAGAGTGGGCATTGATGTAGGATTTCAAAGCTAAGAGGGGGAACAAAGTAAATTTTGCAAGCAGAAGGGGTAATGGTGCACATTTACCAAATCACATGGAGTACCGGTGCAATAAACTCTTCTATATAATCCAACTTGAGGAGAGTATTAAAATATTAGTATTAAATAATAAGTATGTCCTAAATGGTCAAACAAATATCTTTGAATAATGATAAATCTCAACAGATATTAAGAGATAGTACTTAGTCATTTGCCCTCATATATGGTATCTATAGAAACATAATCAATATAACTCTATGTTTTTATTATCTCTTTATCATTGTGTTTCTTCCTCTTACTTACGTTGACATAGAGGGTAATGGTCAATGGTGTCATGGTATGCCAATGTGTTATGGCACTTTGGAAGGGACACCTCACTGCGGTTTGGCTTTGGTGCTCAAATCATCACTTAGGCGGAGTTAATGCATCTAAAGTCACCTCAACTTCTCGCAATGTCGCCTTTAATGCATATTCCAACCAAATACCCATTCACTTGCACAATTAGATCTCTTCGACATATAGTGGAAGCACTATCCCGGGAAGGTAATCTTTGCTCGTCCCCGTCTCAAATTCTCTGAGTCGAGTGCAGAGGTGTGGAACCCAAGCACCTTCAACATGTTCATTATTATGTATTACTCCCTCCATCCAGAATATAACTTCCCACTTACCTTTCTCGACAATCCAAAAATTAACTTCTCATTTCCTTGTTTCGCACATTATTAGCTTATTCACGTATAATGTGCGTATTATACACATGTACATATAATGCGCATATTATACTCCCAAATATGTATTTTTCTCAAATATATGGATATATTCGTGTATTACTAGTGTCATACAAAAGAACAATAACAACAAAAACCGAGTTGGATCCCACTACATTAGGGTCTGGGGAGGGTGTGTGTACGCAGACCTTGCCCCTACTCGGAAGCAGGGAGGCTGTTTCCAAGAGACCCCCGGCTCAACCTGCACAAAAAATATGATAGGGTACACAGTATAGCATGGATAAAACACCAAGTACAATGAAAAGAAAGTTCTACAAGCATTAATAGAAGATTCCAATCAAACACAACACACTACAAAAAACCTCTGTAGCACCGAGTTCCTAACCAGCTACTCTAATCCTAGTTCTCCAAAGGTTCCTATCTAAAGCCATATCCTCAGTCAGGGTGAGAAGTCCTAAATCCTGTCTAATCACCTCCTACTAATTCTTCTTAGGTCTACCCCTTCCCCTACTTCCCCCGATAACCGTAATCCGCTCGCATCTCCGTACAGGGGCGTCAGCATCCCGCCGTCTCACATGACCAAACCATCTCAACCTCGCTTCCCGCAATTTATCTTCCACCGGTGCCATGCCTACCTGACGTCAGATAACTTCGTTCGAAATCCTATCCAACCTTGTCTTCCCACACATCCATCGTAACATCCGCATCTCCGCCGCATGCAGACGACGCACATGAGTCTTCTTAACCGCCCAACACTCTACCCCATATAGCATAGCAGGTCTGACTACGGATCGGTAGAACTTGCCTTTCATCCTGGGCGAAATCTTTGGGTCACACAATACCCCTGAAGCCAACCGCCATTTGGCCCAAGCCACTCCAGCACGATGTCCAACATCCCCGTCTAACTCCGCATCAACCTGGATTACCGAGCCAAGATATCGAAACCTGTCTACCTTAGGTACTAGGTGAGAGTCAATCCTAACTTCCACCTCTGATCCTAACTTCCACTAGTGTCACACAAAAGAAAAATATATTATTCTCAGATGGGCGATCACCCTCGGTCCCTTTTCCTCCTCTAAACTTTTTCTCCAAATATAATCTTTTGTCTGTTTGTATTCATTTTTAGTCGCACTCTGAGTTTGATAGTCCGAGTCTGACTGCGCCTACCTTTACGTAAACTCTAAATTGTATTGTGAGTTGTGATGGCTTCATCGATCGCAAGTCAGGCTTCCACAGCTCGCAGGCTTTCCAGGGCCGAATTGCCGCCTTTGATCTCCATACCCTCCCTGTCTTATGTCGATCATCAAAACCAATGCCGCAACTCACAGGTCTGAACTCATATTTACTTTATGTCCTAAAACTTCTGTTTTAAAATAATCTTAGTTCCAAATATTCAAATTATAGCAAGCTTAGCTAACTTCTTGATCCATCCATCTATCTAAATCTATAGTCTGCGGCCTGGCTCACTGTGTATAGCCCCTACAGGTGTCTTGAATCTTGATGTAATTGCACTATAACTATTGTCTGTTGTGATATGCGTATATGCAAATGAAGCTAAGCCAATTTAAAGCCCCCTTTGTTGAGAGAGATACCTACTGGCATTTTTGTTGCACCAAATCTATTTTTATTAATTGCTTACTTTACAAGTTTTTTCTTTTTGTTCCTAACTGAGGTGGTTCTTAAATTAGGATTTATAATTAGCAATATATGGAACTGTTTACATTTTGATTAACTTACTGCTTGCATTTTATCCATTATAAAGATTTCTTGATGTGATCTATTCTCCTCTTAATTACTATGTTGACGACATTTACGTTTAGAAATATTCAGGTGAAGAAATTGTGTATAAATGACTAGTCAACCTCAAGTAGAATATCATCAAGAGGTTAATGAGGACTTGAGGTACATCATTTCCATGAAATTTCTAAATCCAGTAAAGTTTACTTTATACTGTCTAACATAATTTGTTAATAACAGGTACTGCAATCAGTCAACAAAGAAACATAATTGGTTAATTATCTCTTTCGACCCCCCCCCCCTCAATTTCCTTTTTTGTTTGTTTAACGATTAACGCTTGTACAATTATGTGTGTTTGGTTGGCCTGCATGCTGTTTGGATTCCGTTTTGGGAGGTGACATGGTGTTGTTTTTGGAGGTTTGCATGATTTTATTTGACTATGAGGCTGTTTTGGTCTACTTTTGTGGGGACATGTTGCTTCCAAATTCCTAGCATTTATGGCAGCATGATACTCATTTTACATAGTTTGGAACATGCTGGTATGAATATATGAGTTAATGTTAGTTTGTAAAAATAATTTTGAACTAATCTTCAGGAATTGTGTGTTTAAAAAAACTTTTAGTGTTTATAAATTCACATATTCAAATAATCAAATATGAATTTGAATACATCAAATACGCTCTCAAATCGATTACGAACATTTTTTTAGATTCAAAGTATTAACGAAATCAAACTCGAATATATGTCATTTCAAACGAATACGGATCGAATATCTTGATATTTGATTCGATTTGTATACACCCCTATGTCTTAACCCTAAAAGGTAGCAACAAGAAATTCATTTTTAATGAACTGTTGTTAAACTAAATGTAAACATAATATATTTTCTTTTTTTAGTTGACGCAACTAAATTATACTCCACCCATAAAAAGGTAATTATAAATTTACCTTTTCTTGCCAACCTCCTTAATTTTAAAATATGATTCAATGGTAATATTTAAAAAACAAATTAGTATGCCTGGCTGCATCATGATCATCATTAGTTATGGTCATTGTCATGGTGGTCCTGGTCACATCATGATCATCATTAGTTATGTCCTATGCTATTATTCCCTGAAGTTAATTATGTCTAATCGCTAATCCGATACAGTTGTTGGGCTTAGTCAAGCATCCCTTTCTCTAAAACTCAACAAAATTTGATAAATATGTTGAAACATGAGACACAACTACGTGAGCTGTTATCAAATATGGAGTAGTTTATAAGGATTATATTCTTGAAGATGGGAAACTAAAAGAAAGAATGTGATGGAACAAAACCTTATACATGAACCCAAAAAAACCTTATTATAGCACAAATATTACCTCTCCATTCATCTCATAAGCCACTAAAACATCAGCTAAAGGGTTTGTGGCGTGACTTAGTGGGATTGATGCTTTATAAGGACCTCCATTTTCCTCCTAGATAAATAATACACACATAAACGTAAATCACCTATATTAATATCAAGATATATGTATAGTCAAAAAATCATGAAGCCCTATTATATAAGAAAAATAACTACCTTACACTTATCAATGCTTACAAACTCAATGTGTTTTCCTCCAAATGGAGTTGAATTAGTCAACTTTGGTATTCCAACTAGCTCTAGTATGTCTACCAATCTCGCTCCACCCCAAATAGCTGAGAGAACAATCATAATAACTTACTGATTCTTCTGCGAAATATGTATGAATACTTGTAAAGCAATGGGGAGTAAGTTGCTCATTTTAGGACCATTATAAGATTGTTTTTATAAGAACTTTGATTTTTGTTAGGGAAAAAGCACTTCCTTTTCACAGATATATGAGAGGGAAAGCTCAATCAGCTAACCATTTCCAAGAGCAGCAACATCCCAGCCAACTCCCTTAACTTTTCTATAATTGCTCATTGCAGTTCTCCTATTACCAGCACACTGTAAAAGCCATATCATATGCCCCATAAAAATCTCTATAGGACAAAATGTTTCATGGACAGTTAAGTCAATCATTGATACAAGGCTTTATAATAATGAAGATGAACTTCACCTGTAAAGTAGCTGTAACAGTATGTTTGGGAAGTTTCCTGGAATTGAGAAAGTAATATGAGTTCAAGAGATCAAATTAAGAAAATGAAAAGTTATCAACTTTCAAGTTTCACCATATATCTCTCATGAAGAGCTCATTGGGATGTCTAATAAGACCAGATATAGTGACTGAATATCTGCACATCATAACACGCTTATTGGCAAATAGACATAAGAGCAACAGAAATTTTTAATAAGAAAAGAGAAGCACCAAAACCTGTTGATGTCTTCTATTATAGGAATTGGCCCATGGTTTCGCTTGTAGAAGTGATTGATGGGAGTCACATAAGATGAAACCAAAGCACAACGAGACGGCTCAGCATTGAAGGGTTCCTACTTCCATACAAACGTATTATAGATTTGGCTACTGTTCTTTATAAGCACACACTTCATCATAAATTACAAACTCATCCTAAAGGTATCTGTTACACAAAAGATGATATTGCAAAATTTGAAATAATAATATGATATCAAATGCAATCTTCCAAATCTCACCAAATAAACATGCGCAAATAAGAAATTTATAAATCAGGGCTAGAAACGCACGCGTAGGAATTGGGGGAGTGAAAAAGACGGAAAGCGACCTTGGAATTGATTTTGAAGCAAGGATGGCGAGTGGGCTCTTCTGAGTAATCGGATGGTCCTCTGATCCCAGGCATCTCTGTCTACGCCCGGGCTTCACTGATTCTGGGGTTCTTTGTGATTTTCAAAGGCATTTGGAGTTCATTCTTCCCATTTCTTCCCAGCTTCGAGTTTCCTTCTAACTAGACTAGTAGACTCCTAAGATTTTAAAAGATTGTTTTGGATTTTTTAGAATCAATAGATTTTGTAGAATTTATGGATTATTGTAATTCCATAAAGATTTTTAAGATTTCAATCAAGATTTTTAAGATTTAAAAAAGTCCATAAATTATTAATCTGATTCTTCATCCCTTGGCCTTCTTCCTTTTCTACTGTGCGCTTGGGATCTACCCAGCCTTAAACATAAAATAAAAAAAACCGAATCAATCAGTGGGTTTCAATGGAAGGGCCACTAGTACATCTCCAAAAACAAAAAAAAACATGGAAATCTGCAATCAACTAGTGCAGTAGCCAGTAGGGCTTCTACCTTACCACGCGGTTCTGCAAAAAAAAATAATTGCCCAAGAATCTGCAAATCTGGTGTATGAATTCCGATTTCATTAGCAATTCTGATGAGGAATCCAAGACAGCAGGGCTAATGGACATGAATCGCGGATGTGTGTGTTGGTGCCGCCGACCAATGGAAGCAGGAGAAACGAAATTGTCCAAATTCTTGCGGAAGAAGAGGAGGGGTGGGCAAAATCCAGGGACTGTTGGTTAGATTTGAAATATAGATTTGTATTTATAAGTAAGGCATGAAAATCAATCAAAATCAACATTATTAAAATCTTTAAAAATCTATCATTTTTTGAATACCATCATCATATTTAGAAGGATTTTTTAAAATCTGAATTGAATATTCAGATTTTAAATGATTTTAAAAAATCCGAATTGAATACCTACAGGATTTTTAGAATCCACAAAAATCCATCAGAATCCTGATTGAATACACCCCCTTAGTTTAAATGTCATGGTATGACAATTTCAATATCAACCCTTGGATCTAATACCTTTTTAAAACAATGGTGGAGATTTAATCATCACTTTTTAGATCTACCTCACGTAAAATTAACGGACTCCCCCACCCACGCTGTCTCTGCTTCTCTCGTCTCTATCTCTTCCAGCGATTCCTCTCCTTCCCTGCAATCTCTTCGACAACCGGCGATGCCTTTCTCATGGCAGGATTGCATCTCTCACGACGAGGTAAGTTCCACACACCCTCTCCTCCAGTTTGAATTTCCTTTGAGATAGCCCAAATTTCTTTAACCCTAATTACTTCCCCACACCCTCTCTCGTTCTAATTCAATTCAAGGTTTGACATACTTTGATTTTGATTTTACGAGCATCACAAAGCTTTTATTTTATGGATGAGGGAACCATCCAAAGTTCAATCCAAATTCCAATTTTTTTTCCGATTGGGATTCATGTTAATCCCCCAACGGCATTCTAGAACAAATTGAATATTAACATTCCCTTTCTCTTTACTTTGGTTTACCTTGGGGTAGCGTTAATCCCCTAGTGGCTTTATCTTTACTTTAATTTGGCTTTTCTTAAATGACTCAAATCAGTTTGCCTTAATTGAGTTCTTAAATTGGATGTGTGTGTGTGTGTCAAATAGAGCACTCTAAAAGTGTCAGAATTCAAACTTTTGCAATACAATGATTTTTAAGAAAAGGTCATAGCATAAAATGAAATATTCACTCCCTCCCATAAAAATATTCCAGTTTTTAATTTGCGATTGTCCCCATTTTCAGTTTTTCATGTTCTATAATGATTTTACTTTATTCAAAATATAGATTGAGTTGGAGTTGATGTGATTTTGTGACTCTATAAGAAGAGTATTTGATGTAATTTTGAACAAAAACTCCACATTTGTACTCTGGATAATTTTCATTTCTCAACATGACTATTTGACTAAGAAGGAAAACAGCTGCAAGATGGGGAATTAACGTGCCACCAACTTTCTTACTATTTGTTAAACAACATATTTTCTTCAATATATTCTTACAGTTGGCTACTTGTTTGTTCTCATTGTTGTTCTTTATCTTACATTTTAATGTACACTTTAAGTGGAGCGAAGAAAATGAGCTATGAGGTTACTCCTGAAGCGCAGTCACTAACCTCAAGACCTAATTGTTATTATGGACACACTACGACACTACGTATGTCTCGCCAAGCGCAATCATTTGGAAACAAATTCTATGCATGCCCGAAATTATGCAGTTTACTCAGTGGAGAGTATGTATCAGATTGTTCGTTCTTTAGGTGGCTACATGACAAACGTGAAGAGACTAAGGACACTGCCACCATGAGTAGCAATGAGACTCCCAGGGATTTTCAAGGCCTTAGCATGAACTTACAAAGAGAATTAATAGATGCCAATGTTCGTGAAAGAGAGGTACTATCCAAGAATGCAATATTGGAGACAAGAATCAGCAAATACAAGAAAGGAGAAGTGTTTTTGCATATTTGTATTCTCTTGTTGGTAGAAATGTTATTGTACAAAAATCTTGTGCGAATGTTCGAAGTTATGAACTAGATGTTAATATGGATGTAAAATGCACGTCGGACGTACTATGCACGGTTGGTTGTGATTTATATGGAGTTATGTACTTTTTGTATTGTTGATTTATTCCTCGTTTCGTTGTGATTTATATTAACTGCATGCTCTAGATTTATGTCTTTTGGTTATGCCCAGTTGGAGTTGGTTCTAAGAGGAACCAATTTATAGTGCACTTTTGTATGAAAAGCTTGTTACCATTAATGTCCACTTCATAAAAGACTAATACCACTACTGCAGGTAAACCATGGGGTGCAAAAGTGTGATCCAATTTAGCATAAAAGTGGATCCACTACTGTCCAGATTCAATTTGGCATAAAAATGTGCACCTAAAGAGTACATTTTAATCACCACCTATTCATACGACAACCTACATTTGATCACAACAAAACCTATGCAAACTGCAAAACAGAACCTACACTGGATCACAACAACAAAATTCAAATGATAACCTTAAAATTACCAAAGATTTGTTTATGATAACCTTAAAATTACACCAACTCTCAAATACCACCAAGTCAACATATATTAAAATATTGTCTCAAATGAAACGATTTCTCAATTTTAAACATAAAATAATGTCGGATATGACATGAAATACATAACAATCGAAATAAAATTGGAATTTGGAGAGGGTCGCTAGCAACTGTTATGGATCTTGAACTTGGAGAGGGTCTTTCCTCAAAATCCACTCATGTTTGTTCTATTGTTGGATCTGGAACAGTAGCCTCAACATTTTTTTTTGCAAAAAATGTAAAATATTAAAATTGATACATACCTTGATACATTTACATACCTTGCAAGTAATATACATAACTTCATACATTTACATACCTTGTAAGTGGTTGCGTTGTGTCCAATTGCTCAACAAATACCGCACCGACGTTGGCCACTTGTTGCTACTTCAAGGCTTGATTTCCACCGTTTGTTCTCTTTTTTTTCTCCCCTTGGTCTTAGAAATGTTAGGGTTAAGAATAACTTGAATGCTTAGTTGTGTAGTCTGACTTTCGAGTAACGTATGACTAGAACCTACACCCGAAACAATCGCAATATCACCGGTACACTGCTCTTGTTCACTTGCATGTATAAAGCTGAAAATTCTGCCGAGATTTTCTTGGTACAAAGACTTTGCGAATTGATATGTACCATCATCCTTGCTTTCCAGGCTTGCAATTTCTTGGGCATAATGGTTTAAATCTAACACCCTCTTTACTATTTCGCCTTTCTATTCTGCACGCAGATTTGAAAACACAACTAAAGGCCGACTAGCATCTTTATACCATTGTTTCAAAATGTACTTATCCGGAATGCAAACCACAATGAAGCAATTAAATAACTTTATAATGTGGCGACATAACAAACCATTCCACTCAAAGAGGCCGCACGAGCATCCTACATTATGAACCTTTCCATCCTCAATTGAAATTATACTAATGTTCAAGGTGTAAAATTCTTTTGGGTCTGTCACATGTCGCACAATGTACTCCTCATCAGGGCCGACAAAATCAGTAACTTTGATGCACCTATACCTCTCCGCTTTGGACAATTGTGAATAAAATTTAAGGTATATAGTGCGAGTGTATACCTCAGCTGCATGATCTTTGAGGTATGAGTTTCGATCACAATTTCTTGTGTCTGCTTTCGAAATCTTCACGTCGCATCGCCTCGTAACGATCTTCCATAACAATTTCATATTGGCGGATAAATTCCTGTAGAAATCTTCATGTCGCATGCTTGTATAAAAAATATGAAAAAAATGATTTTTTACTAGTCTTGATAAATGTATCCTGCGAAAAAAGTGATGACGTGAAATAAGACAAATAAATTGTACCTGTGAAAAACGTATCCACCGTGAACACTGGAACCCATTCCTTTTTCATGTCAAATAGGTTTTTGAGCCAAGAATTGTCAAAGAGGTCATATTTTTTAATTATTTCAGACCATTGCTCAATGAAGTGAGATTCTGACAATGATTTTCGAATGTTTGCTTGCATTTCATTTTTAAAATCTTTACTTTTATTGCAAGCAGGAGGAAGTTTCTCCGTAAACTTCTTAAGAATATGCCAAATACAAAATCTATGTCGAACGGATGGAAAGACAACATGGATTGCATTTGAAATGGCTTTATCTTGATCCGTAATAATGGAAATTGGCTCTTTCCCCTCCATAGCCTCAAGCCATGTACGAAATAACCACTCAAAAGTGTCTTGCTGCTCATCCATAACCAAAGCACAACCAAATAAAATATTTTTCTTATGATTATCAACACCAGTGAAGGGTGCTAGAGTCATCTCATACTTGTTGGTCCGATAGGTTGTATCAAAGACTATGACATGTCCAAAAATATTATAAGCCATCCTAGAACGGGCATCCACCTAAAAAAAAATTAGACATCTTCCCTTCATCATCGATTTGCATTCGATAAAAGAATCTAGGATCCAACTCCGCTTGGCTTTCACAATACTTTAAAACTCCTTGAGCATCACCGACTTCCAAATTCTTAGACCGTACGTCTCGCATGTGATTGTAACAATTACGCTTGCTAAAACGGTCCTTCCCAAACAATGTTGCTACTTTTCCAATTGGTATGCCATGATCTTTAAATAACTCAATCACATGTTGTCCACTCTCCTCGACTGCTTGTCATGTTGGTACGAAATGAGCCTTGTTAGGAGTCACCGCCGCTGTAACGTCCCGAAATCCGGGTTAGTATTTTTAAGTAATTTATATAATTAATTACTAAGTCGGTCAATACGAAGATTATTTTCTAATTTGCGTATTTAATATAAGAATTGACCTACATTGTAGGGCTCACTGTTCTGAACCCAACCCCACAAACGGATTGAGAATCGGACTTACTAGGCCTAAGAAACGACTGTTGAATAAGATAATTGGGCTTAAATATATTCTAACTGGTTAAAAAGTGTAAATGGGACTGAAAATCTTATTAAATTCATCTTTTAATATACTCCCTCCGTCCCAAATTAGTTGTCACATTTCTATTACCGAGACAAAATATCAAGTTTTTTCAAATCATTTTATTTACATATTGGTAAGGAAATAAAAAATAAAAATTACATATCAAAAAACTACATGAAAAGTTATTCGAAATAAGAGGTGTCAAGAATATTTTATTTTATCAAATAACCAATAAAAACGTAGAAATAAACAAAAGTTCTCGCAACTGTTGAAAAAGCAAACGTGACAAATAATTTGGGACGGAGGGAGTACAAAGTTCAAGGGGAAACATGAACAATATTTTTTCCCGCCCATTGACTTGTGCAATAAACACCGTTGATTTCATTGGGATTAGATGGACGGTTTACACTTGCGCATGGGAAAGGGTGCATCCATTTATTGAAGTCATCTACTTTAATATTGGAATTGGGAAGTTCACCAGTTCTTACTTTTCCCCTAGCAGCATTGGAAACTCCAAAAAGCATAGAAATCTTCACGCAGGCTTTGGTTCCTCCATTCTCCTCCTTTCAAATTTTAATATTACATTTGTTCTTCTACTCTGTTCATCTAATTGGTTTCTAAATTGATATCGTTAATTGGTTTCTAAATTTATGATTTGTACTCCCCATCCATTCATCGCTCAAAGGTTCCTAAATTTAAGATTTTTGATATTTCAGCAAGAGTACCGGTGGCTGAGGATGCTGCTGATCGAAGATGGGAAGAAGCACGATCGTTCTGTCTCCTAGCGTCTCAAGTCAGCTTTCTCTTCTTGATCAATTTTCTTATACTCTCATAGATAACCTCTGCAATTTGGTAAACTTTTTTTGTTGTTGAGCATTGTGAGATTTCGTCGCATAGAGTCCTCGCGTTCACTCAAGATTACGTTCTGTAAATTTTGCAAGCTTTGATCGAGATTCTTTTCTTGGGTTTTATGCATGGAAGAGGCACACAAAATGTTTGACATTATATTCCAATGAACCCCCTAATTGTTTTTACCAATAATGGAGCATAGCAAATCAGGTACTAAAATAATATACAGATCTACCTTACAAATTAAATAAGCCATCTATGTTATTGTTGCCCTCTTGGTTGGAACATTCACATTGTCAATCCCCCACTATTTTCTCATTCATTTGCATATTGGTAATAAATGATGATTGATAATTTACACAAAACTAACAAGAAATATGAATGCTAAAGAAAAGAACTTTTAATGATATTAATCCACACTAATGAGGTTAACATTTTGAATCAAGGAATGCAACAAACCTTTTCTCTTTAAAAAATCATAGTTAAATGTTACCTCTAAATAAAAATCTGAGTTTATTTATAAAAAAAATTGTTGGTCATGTTCATCTTTCTCATCAACTTCCTCATTTTTCTCAATTAGAAGAATTTTTTTCATATAATAGATGATATTTTTGGTCATGTTTATCTTGCTATTTTACACATTCTTTGTCCATTAATCTTTTTAAGGAGGAACACATGGAAATCTAGGAAGAAAAAGAAAAGAAAAAGATGAAAGTGCAGTGAAATCGAGTTGGGAAGTTGCAAGTTGGAATTCACCCATTATGCGAGCAATATGCTTGCCTTTTAAGGGCCTCTTTGAACTTCAATCTAATTACTAACATATTAGTGAGAAAACCAAGTTAACTATTGCATTTCTATTTTTTCAAGCTATTGCATTTATTTTTAGCGCCTCCTATTATATTAGGCATACAATTCTTTTTTATATAGAGTTTTCATATAAAGTTTTTTTACGTCCAGGTTAGTTAGTATGTCGGGGAGCAGTCTTTCCACACTTTGAACAATACTACCCTTATTATTAGGAGAGGCTGCTAAAAGTTTAAAAAAAGAAATCATCATATATCATATATATCATCATATCATATATCATCATATATAAAGTAGGGTTAATTGACTGTGGGGTTGACACGTGGCCAGTGACATGGCACTTACACGTAGGCGTCATTATACAGCTGGAATTGCACTTCTATTTTCGCTCCGTTTCTTCTTCCCCATCTGCAGACGTTTCAATTCTTTCGTATTCCATCTTCCTCTTCAATTACGGAGTATTACTTTGTAAATTAGGCATCTACAACTTTTGTTCCTCATGGCCTCCCCAGAGATTCATTTTCTTCGCCGGACCACATCGGGGTAGAGACCAGACTAAGGACTCGCCGGACTATGGTCGTTCGCCCTAAGGGACCTCCTCCTTCATGCTCCGTCACTGAGAAGATTGTTGGATTTGACTTCAGTCTTCTCCAATCTCCCGTTCAGGTTTGTGATTTTTAAACTGTTTTACCTGAACAAATAAAATTTCAGGATATTTCTGAAAACAAAATGAAGATCTTTTCAATTACTTACTAATTGCTTCGTTGCCAGGGGGATTATCATGTGTTGTATTAGCTTATGACTCTTTGTATTCATATCTACATCTCATTGTTTTGCAGGTTCTTTCACCTTGGGGTACAAGTATAATTGTTCTTCCTCATCATTGATTAATTTTAATTTTAGCATCACTCTATTCTTTTCTAGCCGAAGGTATTACTTTTCAACCCTTTTGTGAGGTGTCTAAGAGATCTAGAGGCCATGAAAACTGTAATCCGAGACGGATAGTAGGCCATGTGACTATGGGGGTTGGCTTGGGCATTTGGTGTTGGCTTTGGGTTTTAAATACTATTTGGAGAAAAAGGATTTTTACATTGTATTTGGGGGAGGAAATGCTCAGATTTAGTGAGTAGTGCCTAACAAGCTGCATTTTATGGTATCTAAGTAGTTATGGAACCAATGGAAGTGTTTCACATTGGCTGCAGTCCTGGGTTCATTTTTCCATGCTAAATTCACAATTGATGGGCATGGGGCTGTTGTTTTAAGGCTATAGATGGCAATGGTATTTAGTTATTTTGACATTAGTGTTACTCTTAGGGTCATAGATATTTAGATTTCATAGAAACTGTGGTCTAATTGCAGGTTTTTGTTGATATTCATGTAGTCCTCAAAGATCTAATGGAGATTGGCTGTCAGCTAAGGTGAACCATCTTCAGGTTATTGATTCCTTTTTAGCTCTTTTGAGGTGTGTAGTAAGTGACATTTATTTTCTCATTGTATGTGTGTCATATACAATGCAAAGCACACTAATTAAGTGCCATATATATGATCAGTAATCACCATAACTTCTGCATACAAAAAAAAGTAATCATCAGAATTTCTTAGGGCAATTTGGCTATTATATTTGAATTTGGTATTAGTAAAACCTTATCCTTTTTAATGACATATGGAAAAAACAAGAGTCTGGAAACAAAGATATTAAAGGTGTCGAGTAAAAAATTGCATGCTATGGAGAGCATCTGCATTATTTAATTATGTAATATGGGTTGAAAGTTTCTCATAGGATGCATGTATATATGTGGTTTAGATTTTTATGACTGTCTCTAATTACCACAATTTCATTTTTTAAATGAAATCTACTCTGGGGCCATTTCTTCTTTGGTTAAATCTGACATATACATTAGGATGGTGATTTTAAGGGTGAGAGGTCCTCCATCATGTAAACCTAATTGGACATAGATATGTGTTTCACATTAGAATCATGCAGTACTATAAATCAGCAAACAACCAAAGCTTCACAGTTACTAACGTATTAATGGAATCCATTTTATGAACGGAACTTAAGCATGTTAGCTTATTTCCAGTATTTAGCTTATATCCATTACATTTTTTTTTGAAGTTTTTGTCATGTTCAACGTAAAGGGTGGGTTTAGTACTATTGCTGGAGGAACCCGAGGAAGTATTTACGAAACCTGTCAATGGGAGTCCTAATAGAAAGTGATGTCACTATAAAACTTTAAACATGTGTCTTTTAAAGGGAAATGACGTGGAGTGTTGACATATGTCAGCTGAGATGGACAAGGGCAGCTCTCCATTTTAGCCTTGCACAAACCCCCTCAACTTCTCTGGAGAATTCCAATCACCTCCTTAATGTCAACTCCACTTTGCTCCTCGCCGATCAGTTGAATGCCAACTGCCACGGTCCGTGGCTTCATCTAACCAAATCTCGACTCTATACTCTATACCCTGATTTGTATTGACACTACTATTTACTGTACTAATTGTGATGGTGCCTAGAAAGCCTTAAATTATGTGGATTTTGAATCTGCAACCAATGACATCACGTTTTTCCTTCAGACAGTAACCACCAACCCAGCCCTTTAGTGGCAATTTGAAGGTAAGTTTGTTACTTATTATATCTTCATACTCTTACAGTTCTTTCTGCATTACTTTTTTAGTGGAAACAGTGATGTTTGAGCATGCTCACAAGGTGTTTGTTAAATTTACTCCTCTGGTATGATCTTTTATTCGACGATTGTTATCTCTTTTGTTACTACATAAAGCACTTGCTGGTTTACTATAGAAAGTATTTGTAATTCAATGAAAAAATTGTTTAGTGATGGCCATGTTTCTTGCCAGGTTCTTGACAGGCTAACAGCTCGGATAACAACCGCGCTTCAAGGCTAGCATCTTACATCAAAACTATTCGGGGAGTGTTGTTCGCTGATAATCACCCACCACCGTAGAGGTATGCTATTTGTATTGCTTTTTATGTTGATTCATGAGGTATGATGTAACTAAACCACATTTAGGGATGGAACCGGTGCTACACGAATATGAGTATTGTATAAGTGAGTAACAATAGAAAGAAATCTCAGAGTCTAGATGGCAATTTCTCAGAACCACAAAAAAAACACTTCATGGGATTAGAATCAATATTAAAAATAAGAATTTTTAATACAACTGGAATTGCACTTCTATTTTCGCTCCGTTTCTTCTTCCCCTTCTGCAGACGTTTCAATTGTTTTGTATTCCATCTTCCTCTTCAATTATTACTTTGTAAATTAGGATCTATCTCATGCCGTTTATTCTGCCAAAATCGTTCACATCCTCTGCGTTGAATAGTTTCATGAGTTTCATCTCTTTTCTTCTTCATTTACCCGTAGTATTAATTTTTTCACTGGGCACTGCTCTAAGCAACAAAGCACTTCGATCTTCCGTTGGAATCTATTTTGGAATATGCTTCTTCTCAAGTGAAACTGCTCCTGATTTGTTTCGAATTCAAATCTTTGATTTCTACACCTTAGATCAAAGGTACGATTATATTTTGACAAAGAGGTGGTTGGGCCAGCGAATCTTCTTCTTCTTTCAACTAGAGGGTGGCGATCAAGGCCAGAAGTCTTATTTTTTCTATCGATCTGTCATCAAGGTAAACCCTAGCCTTTACTTTTTCTATTCCATTTTTTTTCAATTTCAAAGTTTTAAGTTTATTTAGTAATAAGATTGAATGTTCACAAAATCTGGTTTCATTTGTGTAAAGATTTCATTTTCTCATTGTTCAATTCTTGATTCATATTGTGCTAAATTATAGAGTTTTTTCTCAAATGTGTCAAAGACTCAATTTTGCATCATTTTTCAATTCTTGATACATGTTGTGTTGAATTATATAATAATGCAAACAAGTATGCAAATCCATTAGTTTAATTTTGTACTCTCTATAGATCCTCCCAACTATTATTTTTAGCTTTTATTTAAAGGTTGGAATCACTTTGTAAAATGATTGTTTAATGCAATTGCATGTGATGATGATGGTTGAGCCCAAGTTGCTGAAATTGTCATTTATTTCATGGCAATCTTTCATGGATACCTTTGGAACTGCAGTCCCATCCACGACAGGACTTCAAAAATCGATCGCTGGATTGCCTTCTCAGATCCCAACTGCCGCAGCAGTGCAGCCACCGTAGCACTCCAGGTAATATCCGAATCAATTCTTGAATTCAATTTTTTTGAGGTTTTTTGTATGTTTATACTAATAATAAGCTATACTCTCCAGTGTTTGGATGAGCAGGCGTTTTGATTATGATCATGATGATTTTATGAACTTGAGATTTGATTTTGAATGCTGAAATTTTCCATTTAAAATCCAAAAGAAAAAGGCATTCATATGATATTTGTCTTTAGGACATTATACTTTCAGGATCTTTTTAGGATACACTAAACCTAATTAACACGAATGATTAGGCGATATACATTGTGGGATGAATTCTTTTGTAAATTTTGACAACATCTGTTTTCATATCACTGTGCATTTTCAAAATCTATACTTTTATCTTGAGATGCATCATTAACCAGAAGCAACAATCACAGGAGGTACAATTTCTTGAACTACGTTGGCCATACATGTTTAATGCACTGTGTTGATTTGTTGCAAACAATTTCTTTCAATTTTTATAACTGATATACTAACATGTACGATGGAGTTTTCCTCTCTAAGAAACTCAAGCATTACCGGCATGAAACATCCACATGTACATCATCTGTACACTGCTGCTCTTTGTCTATTTTTATTATTAGACACTTTAGGATAAATTTACAGTCAGAAAATGTTATTTGCAAAGTTCAGGTTACTTCACACTCTCGGTCAATTTTGTGTATTACACTTGCTTTTGAACCTCTTATGTAACATAAGGCTCTAAAGAACGGATTTTTTTCTATTCAAATGGAGGAAATATCAAAGGAAATGGTGTAGATTAAACAATGCACTTTGGGAAAAGAAGAAAATTTATCCATGGGTGTATGAGAAGCATTCATTAACTTGTAGGCTTCTAAATCGTATTGGTTAATGCTTTGTCATCTCACAGTTGATTCACATTAGTAACATCGTTCAATGGCGACCTGAGAAGGCATCAGACTCTACAATTGCAGTTCCATAGTGGTGGCATCAACCTTCGGTGCCCTTCCAAAAAAAGGTATTTTCTGATTCCTTAACCAAAGATTCAATATGTTCTCTACTCTTTTCGGAGACGAATGATGACACTACCTTATCGACCATCAAAACCTTGGTGTCTCCACTTCTTGCCAACATCACCAGCTTTATTTTTATCCCATCAATTCATGCAACCATAAATATGAGGTTTTTTCAATCCTCAATTTCACTTAAAAATGTTCATATTTAAAATAAATGTTTTTATTTGTGTGTGGAATTAGTTGAAACATATTTCCTAGATGTTTTTCAGGTTTGTGTGATTTTTTTAATCGTTGGGCTGGATGCACAGGTTCTATCTAGAGGATGGTGTCGAGGATTAAAATGTCGGTACGAACTTCAGTTTTTCTGAGGAGAGAAAACAATAGGGCAGATTGGCATTCATTAGTTTTTACGACATGGGGGAGAAATTGAAGGTATTTTAAATATGCATTGTGTTTTGTGAGTATAGGTGTTCAAAGCTATAATATATTTCTAATGCAATGAATCCTTTTCTATTTGTGTAACTACTAGGGTATACTCTCTTTTCCCCCGTTTTCAGTAAAACAACATTACCCTCAGTGTTCTTTTATAAATGATTTTAAGGCTTTAAAATTCAATTTTAGTATGTTTAAGTTTAAATATAGTCACAGGTTAAAAATGTGAAAACTGATTTACAGAGTTGACTTTGTGGGAGAGTTGTCTTATGTTTTTTTGTCTGCTCAGAGCAAGAGTAATACCATCATTGTTTTCTGATATAAATGATTTCAACACTTTAACTATTTATTCATTATTGTGTTCAAATTTGCTATGCATTATATAATACGAAAATACTAATACTTTTAAAGTATGCTAAGGAAGATATTTTTGTTTTAATCTAGAATGTACATTTCTATGGTGATTCTGAAGGTGTGTTGCCCTCCATCATTTCATTATGCTGCTTTACGGTTTGATTTTATAAAAGTAGAATTACGGAACTATCTTTCAAATGCACTTCATTCCCTAAATATGTTTTAGGTTTTTTTGGGAGGGTAACGTGAGGAGCTTATGCTTCCCATACATTATTAAAGCATATTCTTGCATGGGTTTGAACTTTTGAGCTCATACCCTTAAATAAAACAAATAGCAGTAGTCTGCATTTCAAGGCCATATTGTGCTCATTGCTATTTGTTGTTTAAATGGATAGTGGCAGCATTCTATATCCAAGATTTGTGGTGTTATATAAATACCTAACATTCATTTAAACTATAGCAGTAATGTTCACAAGAAAATTTGCCTTTAGAGGGTAAAATTAATTAATGGTATTTTTCCTTTTATGTGCCCTTATAGCACATGATAATGAGCATTTAGTGCATATCATTGTCATCTCAATTACCTTGCCTATTCATCAAAATTAATAGAATTTGAAGTATTTCATTGGAAAAATTACCCAAAATAATCCCAACTATACCTGGTTTTTCAAAAATAATCCCACCTTTCACTGTGATGCATAATAATCCCAACTTTATTGAAATTTGCCAATTTTGGGTCGCTGTTAAGTTTCTAACGGAGGGTTAACGGAAATGCCCGTTTTAGACAATAAAATGAAAGTTGGGATTATTTTTGATGAATTTTTTTTAATTTTTTTGAAATTTTTATTTAAATTTTTTGAATTACTTTCAACCCGTTTTAAAACAATAAAATGCCCGTTTTAAATTTTTTATATAAAAAATAGATATAAAAATAGATATAAAAATAAGTAAATAAAAAAATAGAAGTCTTAATATACTACTTATTTTTTTAAAAGAACAAGCCGTCCGGTAAAATTGGAATTATTGTAGATAATTTTTTCTAAAAAATAAGTTGTGATGTGTTAATACTTTGTATAATACGTAAAATATTAAAACCCACCCGTATATTTTTATTTTACTTTTACCAATTTCAAGTTAGTTTCCATTGATTACCTTATTTATTTTATTATTTTTGTATCATTTTAGTTACATTTCTCATTTTTTCATTTTTTATATCTATTATTTTTATTTTTTAAACTAAGACTAATCTTTAAAAAAGGAAAAAGAAATGATGATGGAGGTAGAAAGTAATTCAAAAAATTTAAATAAAAAATTTTTAAAAAAAATGAAAAAAATGAAAATTCATCAAAAATAATCCCAACTTTCATTTTGTTGCCCAAAATGGGCATTTCTGTTAACCCTCCGTTAGAAACTTAACAGCGACCCAAAATTGGCAAATTTCAGTAAAGTTGGGATTATTATGCATCACAGTAAAAGGTGGGATTATTTTTGAAAGACCGGGTAAAGTTGGGATTATTTTGGGTAATTTTTCCTATTTCATTTGATATATGATTAATCAAATGATAAAATAAATAAAATAGGTACCCAATGGTTAAGTACATTGTATCTTCAATAATTTTAAAATGCAAAGTTCATGTTTTCTCTGTTTCTGTCTTTATAATCAACTTATTAAATGAACTCCACGAATCTTATGCTCTTATTATTGTTGCACTTCTATTACAAAGTAAAATAAATAAATAGAGGCTTTATTGATAAAGATGATGGAAAATTATATCCCTGCTGAAAAACTAACCCTTGAGTCTAGAAATAGCTGGGTCAGAGTTCAAAGATGTAATAATATGACATTAAATCCGTCTCATTGTTTTACATGGCTTTCCCCTTTCAGTTTAATTTTTGAATTGATTATTCTATGATTTACATCCGTACATGGTGCTACATTTTTATGTCTTGCTACAATATATGACATACAATAATAATGGTTGGTATTACAACTCCTGCAATAACACATGCAAGGGCATTATTAAGGCGTGTGGTGCAAGTTTTTGGTGCAAGAAATGTAATAAGACAATGGATGATCCTACAAAAGTTTAATTTTGTTTCACTGTAATTTGTTTGTCTATTTCTTTTAATAGCCTTAGGTTTGCTTGACCAGATCATGTTGATGAAAATACAATGCTCTACACAAATATTGGCGTCTATATTTTTTAATGGGTAGTGAAGTTCGATATGGAACATACAGCTGTTGTTTGATGTAGTTTGATGCTAAAATCTGCACTTAACTTTTGACCATGTTGTCTTTGGTTAGAAAAGGACTTGAGTTTTATAAGTTCAGATATTGGTAAAAATGACTTCGAATGGCTCATTCCCTGTTGCTTTTTATATTCTCTCTTATGGGCCTTACCTTAGGTTGTTTTTTGTATTCCAACCGACACTATTAGGACAGTTTGTCAAGACACAGTATTTGAGTTATTCATGAGGGAAAAGTTCTTCCCGTTTACATTTATTGCAAATTTATAAAGTTTAATATTATTTTAAAGAAAACACGTGAACTAAATGGAGAAAATTGACATCCAAGAAGCAAACTGAGGGTCTTACATTTTGTATATAATTACGAGTAGATTGTTTGAAAATCATTTCTACTTCTTAATTATTGATTTCTATTTCCAAAGGAAAATCAACTACCCAAAAAAAATTAACTGGCATAACAGGCAATACCTAATTTCCATGGAACAAACACGTGCATACATTCCCAGCCCGTGTGAAGCACGGGGTAGACAACTAGTATATATATAAAGTAGGGTTTTAAGGCTGTGGTGTTGACACGTGGACCATGACAAGCAGCTGACAGAGATGATTTTTGATGATTCGGCTTACTTCTTTGGACTTCTTTTTGCCTTCATCCCCAATTAATTCTTGGGCTTCGTCGCTTGGAGTTTCTGGTTGGAGAAGAACACTGTACACTGCCCCTCCTCCCTCGCCGGTTACTTCCGTCTCAGAAATCGGTCCAGAAACTCATCACCGCCGTCTCGCCTTCCCAGTTCATTGCTGCATCTTCAACAGTCCGGTCACTGCCAATTTATCGATTAGGGTTTGTCATTTCTTTCGGAATAGTATCTTTTTTAAACAATTGAATTTTTGAAATATTGTAAATATCGTAATCGTGCATCAACAATTGAATTTTCCAAAACAATTTAAGTATCCAAGACTAGAGAAATAATCAAACCTCAGCAGATCATGTCCAGAGTACTTAATTAGTTAGAGTTCTCTGAATTTTGAAATTTCCCTGTTTACAATTTCATGTGATGCTATGAGCGCATGAATTTTTTTTGTGCTTCACGTTTCTTTTCAGGCTAAAGACTAAAATCAAACAGTAGGAGCTTTGGACTCACTTTCATATTTTGAATCTTTTGCTATTTTAAAAATCGAATTTGATTTTGAATAATTGAGTAACCCATTTTGGGTTGGCTTTCGGTTGAATTGAATAAATCAGTTTGCTTTTGATTTGAATTGAATGATTTTTTTACGGTATTTGAATTGAATGATAAATCAGTTCTTGCAAATTGTTTGAAAAATCCTAAACTCCTCCATGATTAGAGGTTGTGTTGCACATTCATTTAAGAGCTCCAGTGAGATATTTAATACTCCTTTTACATTCCCCCCTCTGTTGTTACCTGTGTAATGTACTATTATGATTGTTAGGCCCAAATGAAGAATGCTAAAATGCAAATTAACTGTTCTGTATAGGCCCATGCAGATGATTTTTCTGTTGAACATGGTGAGAGTGGGAGATCTTTTACACGTGGACCATGATGAAGCAGCTGGCACAAATGATTTTTGATGACTCGACTTACTTCTTTGCACTTCTTTTTTCCTTCATCCTCAATTAATTTCTTGAGCTTCGTCACTTGGAGTTTTCGGTTGGAGAAGAACAGTGTACGCGGCCCCTCCTCCCTCGCCGGTTACTTCCGTCTTAGAAATCGGTCCAGCTTCCTGTCCTTCGTCTCAGAAATCAGCCCGTTGTGCGTCCCTCTCTCCGATTGAAGTCGTCCGTCTCCGATTCAAGATGCCTTCGTCTGGTTCTGTCTCCAGCTCCCCGATCAAAGAAACGACCCAACGATCAGGGTCCCCAAACTCTACCTCTCTACAACTCCATCTCAACCCCCAGGTATTATCTTTCTATTTGATGACTTCCAACATATCACTGGGTTTTGCTATTTTTTGCCTAATTGTCTGAATTGCAAAATGCAAGAATCAAGATTGCACCCTATTTTTGCCTAATTTATGATTTATGCAGCCCCTACTTTATCTAATTGAATCTGACTTGATGATATGAGTTACGTTTTCCAATTGTGCAAGTGTCATATTTTTGAAATTCAATTTCTCATTTCTTTTTTATTTATTTATTTTCGCACATTTTTATATTTCAAATGGCAGTATGATTGGCATTGGAACCCTCCAGTAACTCTCCGTTAAGACCTTGGAACAATGTTGTGAACTCATAATATATATTTCCTTTTTGTTTCCTTGGTCTTATAGGGAAGACCAAAGCTCAATCTATGGTGTTTATGGATGGTGTCAACCATATTAATGTAAATACCAAATCTACCCAAACTGGTTACCTCAAGGAGCTTCAAGCACTTCTTTGGTTGTCTCAAGATCCCGTCTTTGCATTTTCTTCATTTGCAAAGGTATTTTCACAAAAGCTTAATTTGCAGTTGTGGATAACCCACACAAATTCTTCTAAGACAAGCTCATGCACTAGAGGTGGGTCGCCATACTCAACAGAACATCCCAAATAAAGAGTAAAGATTGCTGGTCAATATTTTTTCTTAATTAAATATATTTTTTTAATTATAATCTTTGGTGCTTTCCCTCAATGATGCCAGGAAACAAGCTCTGCCTTTATGACAGGCCAAGCAGCTTGACTTCTGCTCTACTTTACAGCTTCCTAACCTTATGCTCTGTCTTAATTTTACTATCCACTTCTATCTCACTTCTCCTTTGCACATATAAGCTCTGTAAATATTAGCTGTGATTGAAGAGATAAAAGTTTGTTGAGAAGAGAAATAGCCTTGGAAATTGTACTATCTTTTCTCAGATAAATTTTAAGTTTGGCAGAATAATCCAAAAATGGGGGCTCTGGTACTAAATGAGAAAGAGAAGTAGAATGAGAGAGATGTATTTACACTTTATGGTAGGGATCCCGCAAATAGTAAGTTCATCCTTATGCTTAAAAGGTTGATGGTGGATACAGTTCTGTTATATTTAGCCAATACACCAACAATAATTTTTCAGGATAAATATAATGCAATGTATATTAAACTACATTATGAACAGCTCTTCATAGTGGTGATTGACTGAATTTATCAATGTGTCACTCACTCTTCTCCGATTAGCTGAATTTATCAATGTCAAAATGCCCAGAGGTTAATTTTTTTCACCATTTGAATGCCCGTTCTTCTATTCTTATCTATTTCTACTTGCAGCCTGTTCTCCCATAGTAAACTTAATTTCAGGTGAGACATCAGTGTTCCCAATGCACCACTTTTATTTAATGGACATTGATAAGGTATGCAAGAATGGGCCAATATTACATACTTATAGCTTATTTTATTTGTCTTTTTAAATGTGTTTCTATTGTTGCTGGTTTAGTCAAATCATATATATATATATATACATATACATACATATATATATATATATATATATATATATATATATATATATATATATATATAAAGTTGGGTTTATTAACTGTGGTGCTGCCAGGTGTCTTCTAATTTGGTGAGTGATTTGGATAGAAACATGGGAGCTGGATCTATCTCATGCCGTTTATTCTGCCAAAATTGATCCTGGGAGAAAAGTTTTTTGTGGCATTCCTGGGAGAAAAATATCTACAAGCATTTTCTAATTGGTGTCTATTCGTTATTGGTAAAAATATCATGATTGACTGCTTGCGTTTACATTTCTTCTTATTATTTTAAAAATCTAGATAAATTTTTATGTACATTTCTGATTTTTCTGTGTGGATTCATTTGGAACATCACTCTTTATTGCTGCCCGTAGACCATGAAGATTTCCCGGTTTTCTATACCTTTTGAAAAATAATTGGCCTAAAAAACTTTCACTCTCTTTTTAACCCCTCTCCATGGGTAAAGAGAGAGGTAAGCAAGAAATCTCAGGTATCCTTCATGGAACCTACCTCGGGAAGTGCTTCTATTGCAACAATAACCGGTCTTAGGCTTCAACTCAATCAACTGTGAGCAATTCATCAAAATAGATTTACTTCTGTTTTCGTTAAAGTAGATTTATATCTGCTTTCATTTCAGGTGCATTGCACCTATCAGTTTATTTTTTTTTCCTGATTGCTCACTTTAGCCTTCCACCTTCCATGTACTTCAGGTTCCTTTCCTTCGGCGATCAGTTTGGTATAATTTATAAGCAGGTCAGCCATTTCAGGTATTCTCCTCTGTATTTTCACCAATAATTTGTATTTAAAAGATAGCATACATGATACACCCAAAACTTTATTGCAACTAAAGTACTCATGTAGTGTATCCTAGGGCCTGTGCAAAACAGAGAGGTATTTACCATCCACATCATTACAACGTCCATTTATTTCAACACCTAAATTTAACAAACTCAATTCACTATCTCTCTTTTAAGTTTGCTCCTTTGTAATGGTTGATCGCAGTAGATGTTTATAGACAAATGAGTACATTTCCACAGGGACTACTAGCGAAGCTACCTCCTACCACACAAACCCAAGAGGACCCCATATAGAACAATAGAAATAAAAAGAAGCTCTTGAGGTTTTGGTGTCTCTTTTTAACCAATGAATTGCTGTTTTATGGAAATAAAAATAAGCTTTTCAGGTTACTGCACACTCTCGGTCAATTTTGTGTATTACACTTGCTTTTGAACCTCTTATGTAACATAAGGCTCTAAAGAATGGATTTTTTTCTATTCAAATGGAGGAAATATCGAAGGAAATGGTGTAGATTAAACAATGCACTTTAGAAAAAGAAGAAAATTTATCTATGGGTGTATGGGAATCATTCAATAACTTTTAGGCTTCTAAATCGTATTGGTAAATGCTTTGTCATCTCACAATTGATTCACATTAGTAACATCGCTCAATGGCGACCTGAGATGGCATCAGACACTACAATTGCAGTTCCAGAGAGGCGGCATCAGCCTTATGTGCCCATCTAAAAAAGGTATATTCTGATTCCTTAACCAAAGATTCAATATGTTCTCTGCTCTTTTCGGAGATGAACGATGGCACTAGCTACCTTATGGACCATCAAAACCTTGGCGTCTCCACTTCTTGCCAACATCACCAGCTTTATTTTTATCCCATCAATTCATGAAACCATAAATCTGAGGTTTTTCCAACCCTCAATTTCACTTAAAAATATTCATATTTAAAATAATTGTTTTTATTTGTGTGCGGAATTAGTTGAAACGTATTTCCTGGATGTTCTTCAGGTTTGTGTGCTTTTTTTATTCGTTGGGCTGGATACACAGGTTCTATCTAGAGGATGGTGTCGAGGATGAAAATGTCGGTGTGAACTTCAGTTGTTTTTCTGAGGAGAGAAAACATTAGGGCAGACTGGCATTCATTAGTTTTTGCGTCATGGGGGAGAAACTGAAGGTATTTTAAATATGCATTGTGTTTTGTGAGTATAGGTATTCAAAGCTATAATATATTTCTAATGCAATGCATCCTTTTCTATTTGTGTAACTACTAGGGTATACTCTCTTTTCCCCCGTTTTCAGTAAAACAACATTACCCTCAGTGTTCTTATATAAATGATTTTAAGGCTTTAAAATATATCATATATATAAAGTAGGGTTAAATAGCTGTGGGGTTGACACCTAGCTTCCAACGTGACACGTGATGTGGATGATAATTCTTCCGAGATTATCTTTCTCGAGCGTTACGAGACACCACTGGAAAAAGAAACGTTTGAGTTTCTTTCTCGCACAATCCATACCAAATTTCAGGTGGTTCTTATCTTTAAAAGTCATTAATCACATCTCCGACCTAGATTGATGCACCAGGGGTCGACCTTCGTACCTTTGAAAGAAGGTGAAGGGACTGCAGCGACTCGGGGAGATCGAGTCTTGCGTAGTTGAGGAATGAACAAATTATAATTTGAACCAGATTCCAAAATAAGACGAATGAACAGCCGCAACTATCAGAATTAGAGGAGCAGTGAACGAAGCTCCAAGGTCGTACAGACGCTGCACCAGTTTCTTCTCCTTTAATTCTGATGTTCAAATTTTCAATACATGATGTTCAACTTTCATCATAAGTACCACCTATTTAGGCCCAAGTCATTTAATTTATATCTAAAAAGCTCATATACTTAATTGTAGACTTTAAGGAGAAGTTTCATGGATAGCCAATTGCTCACAAAGCTGGAACCATGAAGCATACCAAGTGTTTGTTGATATCCCCCACCCAGAAAAACAACTTCTTCTACTCATTCTTTATGACACATTTTCATCAATTGGAGGCAGTGAATTGATAAATATTAGTGTGAATCAGAAAAAAGATGAAGAAAAAAAAAGAAAAATGATGAAGATGATATTCCATATTCTAAACCTAAAACCCAAAAAGGTTTGTTTGTTTGTCTTTTTCTATTTTTTATTTCTGTTTATTTGGAACGTACGATGTGAATGATTTGTTTATGTTGAATATTTTATGGTTTTGTGTCTATGGTGCAGATGAGAGTGAAGAAAGAGGTGGTATAGAGGCTGAGGATGATTTCAAAGATTCAAAATCAAGAAACGCCATTAATAAAATACAAATGGTCTGTTCATGTGTATAAATTTTTTGTACATTTATTCTGATTTTATGGTTTGCAATTGGATTTTTTTAAGGTTAACGTGCAGACAATGGAGAGGGAAGAGGGGAAAGATAGTAGGTTATAATAAAGAAAAGGAGGAAGAAGGTATATGATTTGACTAGCCAGAAGAGAGACCCTCTAGAGGAAGTATTGTTTTCCCAAGTAGCCAAATGTGAAATGGTGGTGTTTTGCAGGTATTCTATGGAGTCAAGCCTGATGAAAAGATCAAGTTTGTGTGTGGCATTCAAAAGGCTCAACACGTTATATTTGCTAATTGGGTGTGTGTTTCCTTAGCATCCTCACATGTTGGAGTTGCTATTGCTGGTGGGGTTAGGGCTGAAAGTGTTGTGTCTTCTATTGTTCTAATGCAGATATGGCTTTCTCAGGTTTGTTAGTTGAGTTAAATATTTATCTCTGCAATTAGTTTCTTCTTAGAAACAACATAACAAATTTTTCTAAACTTTAAAGTTTAATGTGTTGGAGGGAGAAAAGAGGGAAAGGAGATGGAGGGTGAGGATTAGAGAGTTCTTGAATACCTTCTGATTCTCACCTTCCATCTTCTTACCCTCCAACCGCACACAACCTTAAGGTCTGCTTTGAACACTAATTTCATATTAGGGAGCTTTTGGTGGCGGCCAACATGGGAGGAGGACGTTAATGATTTTTTTTGAATATTAGGCTATACTTTGGAAAATATTGAGTATATTCAAGTTTGATTGTTGTCATCCTTAAAAATTACTATATTTGAATATACAAATTACATGGGCTCCAGCAAACATGTCAAAATGATCTGTCGAGTTTTAACTAAGTTTGTCACCCACAAATTTTCTTTGAGGTGGGGGGCGTAATAGCTTTTGAATAAGATACTTAGGTGCGGCCTTTAAACTACAGTTTCTTTGACTTGAGAGTCATATGAAAATGATTTATCCACCATACATCCACAGTTGATTGATGCACTGGTGGTCTGGAGCTTGGCAGGCTTACCATGAAGGACGTGAAACAAAACCTCTGGTGGACGTTTGGGTATTATATTCTGGTTGCTTACTTTTTTTTTAAATCATCACATCCTAATTCATAGATATTCAGTTTTGGTAATTGTCATTATTTTTGGGATTACCCTTATCCATTTTCCCCGTAGTTAAGTTCAATGTGTTGACCCTATAAGAGGCTACACAAAAACATCGTGTGTGATAATCTCAAAATTTTCACTGTTAAATCTATCACTTTTGTTCTTAGAATAAGAATAATCATAATAATAATAAGAATAATCATAAGAATAATCATAATAATAATAATAATAATAGATGTTTTTACTTCTAAACAATTGGCCACTCAAAGAGCATTATATGGTATATAATGAATATTTTCATAGTTGCACTTTTAAGATAAAAATGAAGTCTTCACAGTGGCGTGGCGCCACAAAACCTCTGGTGGACGTTTGGGTATTATATTCTGGTTGCTTACTTCAGATCTCGGGCTCTCAGCGGAATTTTTTTATCAGAAATTTTTTTCCTCGGGATACGCAACTGCGCGACGCACCAGGTCACACCCCTCTTAAGCGCAAGTCCCCAATTTTATTCTTATATTTTTTAATTTATTTATTTTATTATGTTTTTTTAACCCATATAATTTCTAATGATGATTATTATAATTTCTCAATGCAATCAACCTATATTTCTTTATTGTTTTTTATTGTGTTATATATAATTTTATATATATATATGTATATATATATATATATATATATATATATATATATATATAGATTTTGGTTCTGGTGAGAATGCGATCTTAGGAGAGAAATGAGAATGAATCTAGTGCTTTAGATTGTGCGATCTAAGGGTTAGGACTGCATCAAAATTAAGTGCAACAAAATGGTTCGAAAATGCATCACGTCGAAATGCATCATAATCCTTTGAAAATGCACTATCTCAAAATCAGAGCGCAGGATGCAATCTGAGCCGCACGATGCATCAGATCCAACCGGCCCCTATATATATATATATATATATATATATAGGGATTGACTCCAGTGAGATGACACCTTACGGTGAGATGACATGCTTCGGTCAGATGACACAAAGTTCACCACTGGTCACTGCAAAGCTCACCAATGGCCAATGTAAAACTCACCAAACTGTAAGGCAAAGCTCACCAAATTTTTTTCAACACTTTGAATTTTTTTCCAAAAAATAAAAAAGCTCACCACATTACACTGCAAAGCTCACCAATGGCCAATGTAAAGCTCACCTGGAAATAAGGCAAAGCTCACCACTTTGAACACCAAAACTCATTTTTTTTTATTTTGAAAATTAAAAAATTAATAAAAAATAAAATAGCAACACCGGTCAACCACCGGTCAGTGGCGGCGGCGGCAGAGGTGGTCGCCGGCGACCGGCGGCGGTGGTCAGCGGCCGGCGGGCGGCGGCGGAGATCGGCGGCGACGGCCGGCGGGCGGCGGCGGCGGGCGGTGGTCAAAGTCCTGTCAGCTTTTCCTTTAATTATGGTCAACGGTCAATTGTCAAAAAGTCAACACCACTTCCTTTGATTTTTTTTTTCAAAAAAATTCAAAGTGTTGAAAAAATATGGTGAGCTTTGCCTTAGAGTTTGGTGAGCTTTGTAGTTGTCTTTGGTGAGCTTTGCAGGGGCTAGTGGTGAGCTTTGCGTCATCTGACCGTAGCATGTCATCTCACCGTAAGGTGTCATCTGACTGGAGTCAATCCCATATATATATATATATATAGATGTATATATATTTATATACATACATATAATATATATATATATATATATATATATAATTATATATATGTATATTATATTTATTTATTTATATAATGTTCGCCATTTGACCGCCCGCCGCTCGCCACGCTTCTCGCCATAAAAAATAACCTCTCGCCCGCCACTCGCCATTCGCCATTCACAACTATGGTAGCTATAAAAATTCCTATGAACTGTTTACTATAATTCTGGGGCCATATCCCACACAAGGATTGCGTATGTTATATTAACAAATATGTGTTTGGCCTCTGGACTTTGGATTTTATACTATTGGGTGCATATGAACCTTACAATAACAGGCTTAAGTTGGCTTTAGTAGGGTGCACATGGCAGTTTGTGATTTTTTTGGGAGGCAGATGCTGAATTGAAGGTGAGTGCATGACTGTTTTTTAATTGTTGACTGGATTTTGGTCAGGCCTTGAGGCAACTTTTCATCATTGGACTTGATGTAGGCCTTTAGTTATGGCTGTTGCCGTTGGAGTTCAAACCTTAGGCCAAGATTTGGGTTTGGAAATTTTTTTTCTTCAATGGCTAGGTAGCTATGTAGTTATGGGCGCTGGCTTTGTATTTCAATCCTTGGGTTTTTTTTGTTCATGAGTTTGGGTTGGCTGTTTAGCTTTAGTCAATGAACTTCGGTGATGGTATAATCTGACTTGGTACTTCCTAGAGCTAGAATAGGTTTTGGATTTTGAATCTAAGATTGACTATGATGGTTGGTAGCTACACAATGTTTTGGATTCTTTGGGACATGGTGTTATTGTCCATATATATTTACTTAAGGACTGATATCCTTATTTGGTTACACAGGACCATTGTTGGTCACACAAGACAAGTGGTGCCTGGTGAGATTGTTCTTCTGTTTATGAAGCCAACTATGGTTAATAGGTTACTATTATCCTACATATTCTACTAATACCCTTTAGTTGTAGTCCAAAAAAACATTGGGTTGCCTTGAACAAATGAAATCATGAAATGTTGTGGTGGCTCTTCTGTGTAACATACTTGGAATTTTTTATAACTTGAGCATTGATTTTTTTGTTCAAAGTAGCAAGCGAAGAATTGGATACTTAGATATGATGATATACTACCTCTATGAAGCGGTAGTATTTTACCCACATATTTATTTCCTTAACATTATATTTGGTTCAAAAATATTGAGGTAGAAGGATATAAATAAATGAGATGTAAAGTAATTTTACATGTTTGGTTATAGAGTACAAAAAGGGAGAATAAAAAGAAAATGAGAATAAAAATATACTAAGAAATTTGCAAATCTACCATTTTGGTGATAAAAATGAAAATTTGTTAAAAATGAAGAAACTTGGAATTATACCAATTTAGAATTCAATCATAAGGTATGTGCTAAAATTAACCATCTTGAAAATACTAATTTTGTTTAGTATTCACGTGAAGATTTGTTATGAGGTAACCCTTTTCGTGTATGAAATTCATTGCGTATATCTGTCGAAATTGCATTTCTAAATCTGGACCATTGAACAGTTTACAAAATAGTTTCTCTTATAAAAAAATACACACTTCATTTGGTTGTAATTAGATGTTATTATCAGTTTTTTATCTTTCATATTTGAATATAGGATCTAATCTATACTATATACAAAAGCAAAAGAATTGAGAGAGTTAAACAAATTGGAAAAAGAAAATAAAATAGGGTATTTCCCGCCCAAAACATGGTCCAATATAGTCCGTTGATCTGATTGTCAATATTGATCAACGGCTGTTATTGCATTTTTGGTGTTGCGTGGGAAGTGAGTTAATTGTTGTTTTAAATGAGTTTGTTCGGTTCATTAATTGTTGATGGAGCATTATTAAATGATGCAACGCCACTTGAGTCCATTGCAATTCTCTGTTTTATTATTTATTTTTTATTAAAATTCTATCTTCTTAAAAAATATTTTGGAGAAAAAAGATTAATTAGAGTAAAATATAGATAAAGTATTGAAATTGAAACTCTATATTTTATTTCTAGAATAGGAGTTACAATACAATTGTGTCAACGTATAATACAAAAAAACTCTGTAAAGTATTAATATTAAGTATCATATTGTCACGATGTTAATGCCTACTTTGAGGTTAAAAATATGAAACTCCAATGTTTGATACTTTTTTTATGTTTTGTTCCTATTTTAGATGAATTCTTAATATTTTGTTTGTAAATTGATATAGAAATAAAAAATATTGTTTAAAAATTAAATAAAAAATTCTACTCCCTCCATCCCGTTTTAAATCACCCGTTTTGACTTTGAGACATATTTAAGAAATAAAAAAAATAGAGTTATTTTCCAAAATTGACATTACTTTTTAGAGAGGTGACGATTAATGAGAAGATAGGACGGAGAAGAGTGACTTATTTTAGGGGTAGTTTAGGTATTTTATTCTTAAAAGTTTACGAAAACAAAAACATGTTACTTATTTGGAGACGAAGAAAAAAAGGAAAACAAACAACTTCTTCCCATTTGACTTTTCTTGATCAAAGTTCATAAACTTTGACTATGATATTTATGGTCAAAGTGCAATCTTGGAGACCGTAAAAAGTCAAATGGAAAGAAAATTTCTGGACGGAGGGAGTAACTTTTTTCTCAAAGCTATTAAATACAAACACTCTTTGTATAATTTGCTTAAAAACATAACAAAAGTTAAATTTAGTTCATTAGATGACTGCATTCCATGAGATCACAAAAAATATTGTATTCAAAATCTGATACCGTTTTTAGAAACTTACATCAAGAATGTGTTTTTTTGCAAGGAGGAACTCCTCAAGGGACATACCAATATTAAGGCCACAAAATTGATGAAAAAGTGTGGGTTATTATTTGAATTGCAAAAGAATTCCCTTAAGAGCATTACCAATGGTAGGACAAAAATGAAATGCCACATAGTGACATGGAATATTTCAATCAATAAAAAATAACTCAGTCACCGTGTGACAAGTGAGTGGAGTGTCGTAACATACAGTGACAAGTCATTGCTTTTATCTAATTTTACACTTTTTAATGATTTTCAACTATAAAAAAATATTTTACACATCTATTTTATTACTAAAATATGTCTACTTCTTTTAAAAAAATGTTTTTTCCAAAATTAAAAAATAAAAAATATTAAAAAATAAAAAAATGGGAGAGTCATGTCTTGCACATGAAATAAAAAGTGAAATGGAATGACCATGAAATGCCATGATTTGAGTGGTATTTGCTGACATGGCTAGGCAAGGCAAGACATTGCCTTGCCATTGTGAATGCTCTAAAGAATATGATGCATCCTTTTTAAGTACTTCCTACATCCCTAAATGATATATATTTACGCAAAACGAAGTAAAATATCATATATTTTCAATTCATTTTATTTAGAGATTGATATATAAATAAAAAATAAAGCTTGCATATTTAAAAAGTATTCTGCATATAAAAGTTCTATAAAATAAGAGATAACAAGAATATTTTATTTCATCGAGTAATCAATTAAACACACAAATAAACAAAAGTTATAGCACTTTTTGAAAAGTTCCTCCGATTTAAAATATGCTATGGAGTACGAAATATATCCTTATGCATTATATGGTACGTGATAAAAATATATCTTCCACTTTGGACATGAATAAATTACTCTTAGATAGAATTTGTGGGAGAACTGAAAAAGAAATTTGACTCGAAATCTTATTTGCAAAAATGGGATCATAGACTTTGAACTATGACATTAAACATAAATTAAAATGAGATAAGAAAATTGAATACTTTAAATAGTAAATTTGGGTTTTAATTTCTTTTCCCAATCACAATGAAAATAAATAAATGATACAAAATTACTCCGTACACATCACAAACATCTCACAAAGGCACACTTACTTTATTTATTACACCTTACCCATCTTATTTAATATACCCCACCCATTTTTATTAAGAATATTTTGATAAACTTTAACATTTTTTCAACTCTCATTGCATACAAGGTAAAATTCTATTTGATACTCATATAGGTCAATAGGTTGTCATTCCAAGGTTGACATTTGACCCATTTAGATCTAAGAATTTCTTTTAAGTATAAAAGAAATAACCCCTCTAATGATTTCATATGCTATTATCATAAATAAAAGTCAAGTTCAGTCATTGCTTTACTTATGCCTTCTCAAAAGCATGTATTCATTCATGAACAATTATACGTTGCAGTTCAAGAGTTACAAATCGTAGTGATTTAAAATTTTTGATATGTGATTAGAATGGTCAGGAGCATGCTCCACATCGAATATTGCTTATACTGAAGCTTATCATAATTTGTGAATGTTTTATCAATATACGAAGTAATGTGTAATTTGGTTGCATTCGATGTTGGACTGCAATACAACATTTGATTTCATGTAAATCTAAATTTATATCATATCATTCACTTATATTTATTTGTACTCAATCATATCATTGATAACCAAAATATCTTACTATTTTTATTTTGAAATAAATTAGTTTCCGTGCAATGCACGGGTATGAATCTAGTATTTTCCAAAAATGAATGACATGCACCATAGATTCAAATATGATTCTCTCCACACAAACTACACATTATTCCTTAAACTATTCTTCTACTTTACGAATATATCAGTACTCGGTGAATGACACTTCTGATTGATGTAGTATTATAAAACATTCTTTAACGCTCTATTATGAGTTTCATAATATTTTATCTTAATATTAATTCCTCCAAACTTCTCTTTAATCTTATCCCTAACTTGAACATTGCAGATCAATGTTGGTTAATTCAAAGGATGCACGCCATGTTTTCTATAAACCTTCTTGACTAAGTGAGAATTCAGACCCTGTAGGTGGTGAAATCCATTACGCTCCTGCCCAAATCAGGTCAGTGCATAGCGCATAAAATTTGGAAAAGGAAAAATGCAGAGTATAATATACGTCAGTCCTTTTTCCTTTTTGGGCGAAAGCCGAGAAACTAATTATAATCTCAGATCATAGAAATATTTATTATTCAGCTCCAACTTAAACCTCATCAACACATCAATGACCAAAAAATAAACATTCACTAAGAAAATTAGCCTCTCTATGTATATTTTAAATTGCCTCTTTAAGTTCCTTTTTAACAGTTTGGATATTGTACGCCTATGCTGTTCGCCGTCTCTGCTCCAGTCTCATCACATATCTGAGATGAAGGATACAACCAGTCATCATCCCTACTTTAAAAAATAATAACAGTAGAGCACACCTGAAAGAATTTTAAAAGCCACAATATTCTTATTATATGACTATACTAAATTAAAGTTAATAATTAAACACACATTAATTGCTACTATTCAACCCCTGATTATAACTTTATTTATTTGTAACTGAAATGGAATATGAATAGCAAACATTTCCTGTAAGCATTGAAAAAATATAACCCAATACATTCCATACATACTAAAAACATCACACAACCAGTATGCAAAACATACAGGCGTGATTTCCAAACATGGAGGACGACCTACACTGCCAATTCATACAAACACCAGCAGAAGCACGTAAGCGGCACAAACTTATTATTCAGCGTAAAAGGCAGGCCACAGATGAAATGGACAGAACAGGCCATACAAGCACTTCCCACGAAAGAAAACAAGGTGCTACCATTTTTGTATACACTCTTTCATCCTAATAATACAGTATTTAAATTTATATCCTTACGTACTCAAATGAACAGGCCATCGACGTAAAGAACCTGACCGAGTAAAAAACTCAAACCTACAAAGTAAGCATGTTTTTATTGAAATTTAAAAAAACCCAGTTATGACACACGTATAACAAATATCTATGTTACATGATACAGATACAGGAGGGGAATTAACATATACGGCTTTGTCAAATCCAACAGAGCTATGCCAGCATTGTCATGCCATAATGTGGAAAGAAGAACGGAATAACTCCAGATATCAAAACAGGCCACCCACCTTTTCATTATGCCGCATGGAGGGACGAATCAAACTCGAAGCATTAAAGCCTGCACCAGAATATCTGGGAAACCTCTTAAGCTATAGTGGTGGTAAATGAGCCAAGTTATTCAGAGAGAATATCCGTGCTTATAACTCAATCTTTGCATTCACATCAATTGGTGCCGATATTGATTACGAGATCAACAAAAGCAAAGGACCATATGTGTTTCGTATTAGTGGACAAAATTACCATCAAATAGGATCATTAATGCCTCAAAGTAAGAAACCCCATAAATTCCTCCAATTGTATATGTATGACGACCACTCTTCAGAAGTACACAGCAGAATCAATTCATTGACAAAAGACAAACCACAGTCTAAACTAGATCCAGACATTGTGGCAGGCATTATGCATATGTTAGACAAGGAAAATTGCTTGGCACAAGTGTTTCGCATGGCAAGAGACAGAATAAAAATAGACAAGGAACAAGAGTACCAGTTACACCTTCTATCTGACCGGCCACAACAACGTAAGCAATACAACGCCCCAGCAGCATCAGAAATAGTTGCACTTATCGTTGGAGATTTTGGCCAGGGGACCGATGGTAGAGATATTATAGTGCAACACAAAGAAAAAGGACTACAGAACATTTGTGAGAGACACCCAAGTTTCATGTCATTGCAGTACCCCCTCCTTTTCCCATATGGGGAAGATGGATATCATGAAAAAATACCATACAAACCCGATTCCAGATTGAATGTGACCAGGAAATTCATGACCATGCGGGAATTCTATGCTTATCGCATTCAGCAATGGCTCACTGAAGGTGTAACACATTTATATGGAGGCAGACTGTTCCAACAATATGTCATAGATGCATATACTGCAATTGAGGAGGAGCGTCTAAACTACTTTCGTTCCAAGCAAGATACTTTTCGAACAGATATATTCAGAAATGTATGTGATGCTGTCAACAAAGGGGACACAATTGCCTCTGCAGTAGGTAAACGTACAGTACTACCATCATCATTTACCGGAGGGCCACGCTACATGTTCCAAAACTATCAGGATGCCATGGCAATATGCCGAAAATATGGAAACCCAGATCTGTTTATCACTTTTACTGCAAACTCAAATTGGCCAGAAGTAATGAAAATGCTAGAATATATCCCTGGACAGAGGGCAGAGGATCGTGCGGATATAGTTTGCCGCATTTTCAACATGAAACTGAAGCAACTCATGAAAACACTCACAAAGGACAACCACTTTGTGCCAACGCAAGCATGTAAGTCCAATCACTCTACTCTATGTTCTTAACTAAACACCTACACGCTACAAAACCACTTTTATACAATACATGTTACCCTGTCCTAAAATATTACAATCATCACAGAAGTTGCCACAATAGAGTTCCAAAAGCGTGGACTCCCACATGCTCATATACTATTGTGGTTAACGAAATCAGAAACCCACAATGACCCGACCTTCATAGACAGCATTATTTCTGCAGAGATACCCCAACAAGAAAATACAAAAGCATATGAATTGGTTTCAAAATTCATGGTACATGGCCCTTGCGGCCACATTAGAAAAGATGCTCCATGTATGCAGGGAAACATTTGCACAAAAAATACCCAAAGCAGTTCTATGAACAAACAACCATTGACGAAACAGGGTATGCAGTATACAGAAGAAGAGAAAATAAAAGGTTTGCCACCAAACCCAATCTCACCTCCCTCTTACCCCATATCCCGATGTATTATACACTTTTAAATTATAATCTCTTTGTGACGTCCTGAAAAACATTATATTACAGAATAGTGAAGAAGGGCTCAGTTGAATTAGACAACAGATCTGTCGTCCCTTATAACATCCATCTCCTACTCCTTTTTGAGGCACATATCAACGTAGAGTGGTGTAACAAATCTAAAGCCATCAAATACTTATTCAAGTATTTAAACAAAGGCCCAGATAGAGCAACAATGGTCATCAAAGAGAAGAAACGAAGAAAAAAACCTCCTTCAGAAAATGATGAAATTGAACAGGACCTCGACTGTCGATACCTCTCAGCATGTGAGTCAATATCGAGGATCTTCCAGTATGACATTCATCACAGAAGTGTTCCCGTCCTATGCCTATATGTCCATTTGCCCGGAGAACAACTTTTAACACTCAAAGATAACCAAAACATTGTTGAGGCAGTAAATCAAGAAGCAGCTCACCAAACAATGCTTACACACTGGATGACCATTAACAAAACATCTGAAGAGGCAAGGTCTCTAACTTACGCAGAATTCCCAAGTAAGTATGTGTGGAATCCAAATGTAAGGATTTGGAACGAAGCTGAACAGAAATGGATAATTACAAAACAATGGACAAAGCGAAAGAGAGGAAACTGCGTGGGGAGAATATCGTATGTCCACCCCATTGCAGGTGAACGCTACTACCTCCGACTGCTTCTCAACTCTAGCAGAGGCCCCACATGTTTTAAAGACATCCGTACAGTAAATGGAATTCTCCACCCTACCTTCAAGGCTACATGTTACACACTTGGCCTACTCAATGACGACAAAGAGTGGATAGATGCAATACGGGAAGCTGACTAGTGGGCAACACCTAGACAGTTGAGAGAACTATTTGTGACAATATTGCTTTTTTGTGAAGTATCAGATCCTCGCCAATTATGGGAGACAATGAGACATGCTCTTGAGGAAGACATTCTACGAAATAGAAGGAAAATATACAGGCACCCAGAGCTAGAATTGTCACCGGAACAAATTCAAACATATGCCCTACTAGAGTTGGACAAAATACTAAGCCGATCAGGAAAATCATTGACAGATTATCCATCACTCCCCCAACCTAAAATTACACAGGTCCACCACTTGGACAACAGACTAATCCGAGAGGAGCTAAGCTATGATACTAAAAGTCTCACACTCATGCATGAAAAAAGCAAATCCTCTTTAAACAACGAACAGCTAAAAGTCTACCATGCTGTTGTATAAGCGGTGGAGACCGGTAATGGAGGAGTATTCTTCGTCTACGGACATGGTGGCACAGGAAAAACCTTCTTATACTCCACTATAGCTGCAAAGCTGAGAAGCGAAAGAAAGATTGTCCTAACTGTCGCATCCTCAGGTATCATACATACTTATACACTATAACACATTTACACACCAACAATAGCTATTACTAACACATTTTTATCTTACCAGGGATTGCATCACTCCTATTACCAGGAGGTCGGACGGCACACAGTAGATTTGACATTCCAATTGAGTTATTTGAAGGCACAACATGTGCCGTGCGACAGCAGACACAACTGGCAGGCCTTTTGACAGAGTGTTCATTGATAATATGGGATGAAGCTCCAATGGCCAACAAATTTGCATTTGAGGCAGTTGACCGCACACTCAAAGACATAGTCTCATTTAAGAATGAGTCTGCAGCAAACCTCCCTTTTGTGGGAAAAACAATACTTATGGGTGGTGACTTCCGCCAAGTACTTCCAGTTATACCAAAAGGTAAACGCCCAGATATTGTTCAAGCATCATTAAATCGGTCGTACATCTGGGAAAGTTGAAAGTTTACACACTCACAAAGAGCATGCGAATCCAAGAGGATGTAGGAAATTCAGTTGAAAATCAAAATGCAAAAGAATTCAACAATTGGTTGTTAAAGATGGGTAATGGAACCTTGCCGACAAAAGCCCTGCCGGATGAGGACGAGGCCACCTGGATAGAAATACCTCAACAACACTACATCCCAGGTCACGTCACTCCACTGACATGTCAACTTTAATAGCAACCACATACCCCAACTTCCTTGAAAAATGGAATGATGAGAATTACCTCAAAGAACGAGCAATATTGACCCCATTGAACACCAGTGCAGAAGATATTAACCAAGACATGTACAAATTACTACCTGGAGAGGAAAAGGCATATACCAGTTGTGATGAAATCTGCCAGGCTTCACAAGACAGTGATGCACATGAAATTGGATACCCAACTGAATTCCTCAACACACTAACCTTCCCTGGGATGCCAAACCATTTACTTACTTTGAAATGTGGCACACCAGTACTATTACTTAGAAATATCAATCCAACCTTAGGCCTTTGCAATGGGACAAGACTAATAGTAACAAAATTGGGTTAGTATATTATTCGGGCAAGGATAATCACAGGGAATCATGTTGGAACAGTGGTGGACATCCCACGAATAGTGATATCTTCAAAAGACACAAAATACCCTTTTGTCTTAAAACGAAGACAATACCCCCTGCGACTGTGTTATGCTATGACAATTAATAAGAGCCAAGGGCAATCGTTAACACATGTAGGAATTTATCTACCGAACCCTGTCTTCACACACGGCCAGCTTTATGTTGCTCTTTATGTTGCTGCCTCCAGAGTCACGCAACCAAATGGACTCAAATTCATCCTCAAAGAAAAAGAGGAAGAATATGCAAGGCACACGCGCAATATAGTCTACAACGAAGTGTTTAATAATATACCCCATCCATCAGGTACACCCCACCTCAAACTAAATAAAAAAACCTTTATTACCCCTCAATCGTTACACAAAAAAACAAATGCGTCAAATGCTAAAAACTGTAATTTCACAAAAATAAACCTATTTCAGTACATGTACATGGTTTAAATACAAACTTGAAGATTTTTTAAAAAACCATTACGTATGGAACTGAACGCTACATCTCCAAAAATTATATTTCCAAAACTATCTGTATCTATTTGGTTGTACATTATTTCTTACCTACACGCTATACTATAATATGTAATAATGCTTCATAGGGGACTGATCGACTTCAACCCAATCATACACAAAGGGAAACAAAATGCAGCATGACTTTATACTGCAAAACACCATACTCCAACACCATATCAGGTATTACTCCTCATCTCTTCTTCAATACTATACACTCAAATTACCGTCATATTCTTCAACCAATTCTATTCTATATTTGCAATTACAGGCTACATAAACATGCTATACAACACTATCTGTATATTCGCCCGGTGATGCAAACCAAATTCAAGAATTTATCATCACTGACAACCGTACAACATGCATGACACCAGCGAATTATAATTAAACGACAAATATGAATTCAACTAATTATAGGTTTTATAATGTTTTTCTTGATTTGCAGTTATGTTTGTTTGAAAACTATATTCAATATATTATATTTTCTCTCAAATCATATTATTAATTTCCTTTACCTCCAAATTAAATATAAATTACTCAACTCACAAAACAAAACACAGCCAATCATACAATAATTGCTTCTTAATCTATATATCCCATTTTTAGTGAATACAACAAAAAACACACATTTCTTTTTACTAATCTTATTTTAAAACCAAACAAAAAAACCCCAACCTATACCTTTCTATTCACCCACTAATGTCTACCCAATGGAAGATTACATAATCACTCACCAAGAACATATACAAAATTTAATTAACTACCGGCAATCATGAAATAGAAGTATACATTCTTTTAAAACTACATTTATGAATAACACTATTATTTCTATAACACTATATAATTCGACTCACAATAAAAAAAACCAAAACTACTAATGTTAACCTACGTAATAATCTCCGCTAATTACACACAACCATGATACCGTAGACGTCCCAAAAAAACCAATTCACAACATCATCCATTTAAGCAAAACCATCAACTATGCAACATTTCATTTTTACATGGGAAAAAAACCAAATTATAAAACAACTTGGAAATAGTTCTAGCAACATCCACAAACCTATGCTCTACTATTTACAAATTAATAATCTTCTACGACGTTAAGTTTAATCTATTATAATAATACTAAATATCCTATTAATACACCAATAATCAACATTACTTAACATTACAAACAACACAGACACAATAAAATAACATTTCCTATGTTAGTCTCTACATCACAAATACATGTTATATAAATAAAATTAAAAATAACTGTTACCTAATAAAAATTAAAAAAACAACTATGAACACTTACTAACCCCCAAATTCTCCATTACTTCCCTACTCATTACTTTTTAAAAATAATTCAAACAAGACTTATTCGTTTCGTTTGTAACGGAATTATATTTCATCAATGTACCATTTTATTAAAACTTATTGTATAATGAATCTACTTCATTCCCTCACATCAACAACAAATATAAAAAAAAGGTTAATCCTTGAAAAATTGATAATCTACACGCCAATTCTAACACAAAATTGCATTTCTCAAGAACAAAAAACAATAAAATTTTCAAAACAAACCAAAATTATGGAAACACTACCCAAACAATTACAAAAACAACGAATAACGCGCACGCATCCCCAGCCCGTGCGAAGCACGGGGTTACCTACTAGTAATCTTTTATTTCTTCATCATATGTAGAAGAAATTTATTCCTTGTCCTTTAAACGCGCGATAAAATGCAAGGAATTCACCAAGCTTGGATATATTTAAACCATACAAAATATATCATTTAATCAATTGTAAAGCCAAACAAAAATACCTCCTCCATGAGGACTACCTAACCACTTTGGTTAATACACTGTACGAAATATGGCTTTTTATACAATAAAGTTACATCCTTCATGGTAATATCCTTCAACAATGGATGTATAGGCAACTTTATTTTTTCATTAAGAGAAATACTTTCTCTCAAACAAAAAGAATTTGATTTTCATCATCCTTTAACAAAGGATAAAACCAATTTCTTTCTAACCGTAATTTCTCCTTCACTATCACATGCCGATAAGAAAACATTCTTATACTCAAGTACAAGAAAATATTAAATTATTAGTATAATCCGAAAAGTAACCAACCGTAACCTTTAGTAGAATAAGAAACTTTTAGATTGTTGGAACAATAAAAATAATTTTTATTATTGTGACTGCACTTAGAAAAATAAAACATTCTAAGTTGCCTACGTACCCCAATGAAGGAGATCAAGCCACACGTAGTTCAAAACATGGTTGGTTAAATTAACCGTATAAACCTCCAAGGCGCGTGATCCTTGGAAACGCTTTCCTAAAAGTTGCTTATCTACCATATTATAAGCAACAAGGGTTACAAGATATAACTTTTAGGATACAATGAAGAAGACCAAATTGTTCGGTTGCTCTACGAAACAATTTGTTAATGTACTTTAACGAGACTTGTCTCGAGAGAAAAGAGACGAAAAAACATAGAAAAATACACTAATTAATATTTCATCTTCATAGAATAAATATAAGAAATAATTACATTATTTCTTCATTATTTTAAATAATCAGTGAAATAATAATTAATAATAAATCAATTTTCTAACATAATTTTTTTCTTCTTTTTTTACATTGTGACATGAGCCCTATTTATAGAAAATAATATGCCCCTTTATAAATGATCATGTCTCTTTTGTAAGAAACACACCCATTTAATTAAAAACTTCCAATTTAAATTCAAAATAATTATTCAAGAGTTATGTCATTTAAGAATAATCATGTCTCCTCAAAGAGTTGTGCCCATTTATTTAAAATTCAATTTTGAATTTAAAATAAATCTCCAACACCCTGTATATATACATACACACACACACGCGCGCACACACACACAGATATATATATATATATATATATATATATATATATATATATATATATATATATATATATATATATATATATCACCTTTTCGTACTAAAGCCGTGTTTGTTCTTATGACAGGTTTTGATAATGCCAAACCGCCGTGATCAAGACAAACATTGAATATACAAGGCGAGGAACGAAGATAATGAACAAGAGCTAAAAGAGACCAAGAACGAAGACCGCAGTCTTTAGTATTGTTGAGTCGGTCATAATTGTAATCAAGACCGACCAACCCTCACGCATTGGCTCTTTAGGCTAAAACCTTTTACTGCATTTCTTACATTATAAAAATGTTTTTCAAACTTGTTTAAGTCATTAAAAACACTTGGTGTTCGCCCAAACCAAAAACCAAGCCATCCAGCGTTCGGGTTTCAGAAACCGGCGTTCGGCTCTCGGTTATCGGCTATGGTTTTTGGCGTCCGAACCAACCGAGTGGTTTTCAACTTTTTATGATTTGTTTTCACTCTTTGGCATGTTTAAACGGTTCTCCAACAAAAACACTTCGAAAACCATCTTTCGCTTTTGGTCGTTTGACAAAAATCATTCAAAACGGCATAAACTTGGCTAGCCGTGGTTTTCACTCAAA